TCAGAATTCTACGGAAGAGGAGGGCCAGTGGGAAAAAAAAAGTTAACTGATTTTTATATTTTATTTCAGTATAGTATGGGAAAAAAGTCAGAATTCTGACTTTTTTCCCATACTATACTGAAATAAAATAAAAAAAATCTGTTAACTTTTTTTTTTCAGTGGCCCTAATCCTCTTCCATACAGCCCCACAATCTAACACCAAAAAATAATTTTCAAATACTTGTTTTCTCCCATTTAATCTTATTGCATTAACTATAAAAAATATCTCTCTATTAGATATTTTAATGTGTTATGCTTCAGATATGACCCTTTGATAAAATAGTACAGCTTGTATAACAGTGTAAACCTGCCGTAACATCAACAAACATCCCATAATATCTAAACCGCTGGTAATACATATCAGTACAACCCTCAGAAAACAATCTTTGTCTTTCTTTTACACAAAGAAATATGTAAATAGAAAAAATAAAAACTCAACAATCAGTTTGACGTCAGCTGAGTCACAATAATGAGAAACATTTCTCAGCCCGGCCCAATTCCTCACTTTGGTATCTGCTCTATCCTTCTCTAATAAAACATAATTCAGGCCATGAATTGCTGCGCTGCCACACCTTTCTCCTCGCCTTTGTCTTCCCTTTCCGCCTTTGTGAAACTCCCTCTGACCAAGCTGAACAAAAGCAAACCTGGACTTTGGCTGGAAGAGAGACATCACTCCTCCAACAATGAGGATCCATTTTCAGGTGGAATTTTCCTGGAGCTGCATAATAAAGAATAAACTGGGACACAGCGGCTGCTGCCAAATTATGAACCCCGATCCTTGAGTAAAACCGACTTATCAAACAACAGAGGCAGCAAAAAGAAGGCAATCTGCAGGCAGATGGAAAACAATGAAAGCAGTTCAGGAACATATGAAACCAGGGCTGGTTCTGAGAAACAAATCAGTTTCAATCTCCCAGTAATGTGCAATAAAAGCAGTTTCTTTTCTAGGATTTACATCAAGTAAAGGTAAAAAAATGTTTACACCTTCCAAGTCCATTTAAATTACAGTAAAAAAAACCCTTTATAGTTTTTTTTTTATGGTCAAAACATTGGTTGTGGTACGTTTCAAAATTTTAAATAGAATTTAATCTGAGCTGATAAATAAAGAACGTGATATTTGATCATCCAAACACATTTTTATTGTTACCAAAAACTACAACCTTTAAAAGCAGAGACATTTAACAATAGTTCTACTATATTCATAAAAAACAAAAACATAATTAATCCCAAAGAAAAAAGTCTTCAAGAAGTTCATAAAAGTTGCTGTAGATGCTGATGTCTGTGGGCAGGAAGGGTTTCCTGTAGTGGTCTGTCCTACAGCGGCTCTGTGGAAGCCTCTGACTGCAGACACTTTGTTTGACTGTCCCCTGAGGAGGAATTTCACGGTTGATTTCTTTTGTTCCTCATGTTCAAAAGAATCACTTTGCACAATTATCCAGAAGGTTCCCAACTTCTTTATCAGCAGCCTTACATCTGTGGCTCCGAGGCTGCCCCCCCCCCAGCAGATAACAGCAGAAGGTATCAGACTCTATACAACAGACTTACAGAAGATACTCTTTGTATTCAGCATAATTAGTCAGCAGAGATGGCAAAAGTACTCACTTTCCGTACTTG